AAATGTGCAGTGATATCTCATTGTGATTTTAATTTGTATTTCTATGATGATTAGTGATGCTGAGCAATTTTTTCCATGTACCCATTGGCCATTTGAAGATATGTCTTCTTTTGGGAAATGTCTGCTCAAATGCTTGCCCATTTTTTGATCAGGTGCTTTTCTTGCTGTAATTGTTTGAATTCCTTATGTTTTTTTGTTTTGTTTTTGTTTTGAAGACATTGATCCCTTATCAATCCTATGGATTGCCTTTTCATTTTTAATTGTTTTCTTTGCTATGCAAAAGCATTTTAGTTAGATCCCATTAGTATTTCTTGCAGAGCAGGTCTAAAGGCAATAAGTTTTATCAGCTTTTGTTTATCTTGGAAAATCTACTTTCTCCCTCATTGTTGAAGAAATTATGCCAGATGCAGGATTATTAGTGGAGAGTCCCCCCCCCCCCCTTCTTCCCCTCAGCATTTTAAATTTATCAGTATACTACATTCTGGCCTGATTATCTGCTGACAGTCTTGTTGAGGATCCCTTGTATGTGATGAGTTGCCTCTTCAAGATTTTCTCTGCTTTTGACAGAGTGCTTCTGGTGTGAATCTCTCTTAAGTTCATCCTACCAATTTGGAGTTCTTTGAACTTATTATTAAGATGTGTATATATTCGTGTCATTGATAAATCTGAGAAGTTTTATCAAATAATCTCTTTGCTACTTTTCTCCTTTTGCCATTCTCACATGCATATGTTGGTTCTCTCATACAGATCCCATTGCCTTTGTTCACTTTTCTCAGTTTCTTTTCTTTCTGTTCCTCAGTTTTGATAATTTAAATTGTTCTTGTTTCATATGTACTGGTTCTTTATTCTGCTCAGATCTTCCATTGAATCCCTCCAGTGAATTTTTCTTTTGCTATGATATTTTTTGTTTCTAGAGTTTCCTTTTTAATATTTATCTCCTTACTAATATTTCTATTTTGTTCATCATTTTTTTTTTTTTTTTTTTACTTTCTCCATGTCTCCCTTTAGATCTTTGAACACCTTTAAGACAGATTTTTTTAAGGTTTTTGTCTAGTAAATAAGTAGATCCATCTTCTTGTCCTTCTCTGGAAAGGTTTCTGTTGGCCTATTTTTTTTTTCTTTGTATAGATAATATTTTCCTGTTTCTTGGTATCTTTTGTGCTTTAAAACTGTACATTTGAATCTAATGTGGTAACTCTAGGAATCGGATTCTCCCTCTTCAGGTTTGCTCTTTTATTATTTGCTTGCCTAACTTTCTACCTGTCTTCCTCTTTCTCTTCATCTCTCCCTCCTTTCTTGCTTTTTAAATTTTTTGTTTTTATAGGTGATCTCTGTGCTGGGAATCAGTCAGAGGTATGTATAAACTCAAAGATCTTTTTGTGTCTTTTCTGGGCTTGCAATTTTCCTGGGCAATCATGGTGACTTTCTAAATTTCTTAATTATGCAGTTGCTTTTAAATTTCCTGGTTCTTTAATATCTTAACTCCCAAAGGGGAAAAACAGAAAAATGAAGGAGGAAGGAAAAATAAAAGTTACTGGCCCCTTAAATCTCCTTTAGCCCAAAGGGGAAGGGCTTACAACAATTTGGAGGATGTGAAACAATGGCTGCCTGCCTCTGTGTCAGAGAGGAGAAGCAGCAATCCATTTTATCTGAACACAGATTCCAGATATTTGGAGGACAAGATCTTTATTGCCCACCCTAGCCTTCCACAAACTGTGGAACACATGCATAGCTTCCTGGGTGTTGGGGAATGGTGTAGTCAAGTCAGTCACTGCCCAACTGAGAGCTAAAATTAACAGCAGTTTATTTCCAAGCTTTCTCCTGGAATTTGTCTTGGAATAGATCCAGAGTTCCAAAATAGTTAAATTAGACAGATTATGTTAGTACAATAGTTTTCTGGGTGAAGAGACAGATTTTTGTTGCTTCCTACTGTGCCATCTTTCCAGAGTCCTTTTATGACTTTTTTTAAAAAGATTTTTTTAAATTGTAGATGGGCACACTATCTTTATTTATTTATGTGGTGCTGAGATTCGAGCCTGATGCTCACGTATGCAAGGCAAGTGATTTACCACTGAGCTACAACAACCCCAGTCCCCCTTTTATGACTTTTTAAGCTCCATTAGAGTTAGAACAGCCTTTAGCTCTTCCTCCTTGATTTTGTGGAACCCAAGAATGGTAAGTTTATTGTAACTCACATTATGTTTGAGACCTTTTCTTTAACTTTCAAGTCAGTTAGCAAGTGCTTAAAAAAGAATTCACATGTCAGATTTTTCCCCCCTTTCTTATAAGATAACTAAAAGCTTCCACTAGGAAAGGGTGAGACCAAAAATAGGGAGGTCACATAGAAGAGACTACTTTAAGTAAGCTTGTTATAGTTAATATAGTAGTGAGGTACTTTGATTCATTTATGACCATGTAGCTCATTTTTATTTTTAAGAAGGTAAAGGGCATGATTTGAGATGTGTGGGGATTGACTTAATCCACATCATTGGATTGATGATCCAGTTACAGAACATAAAAACAGAATGTCTGTGGGAAAGGTGAATGGATTATTACTATAGGTAAGAAACACACCTGTCCAAACCCAGAGAATAGACTAAGAGAAAAAAGGTATAGCAAAAAGGCAATCTTGCAAGATCAGGTGTCTGGGGGAAGTGGGCACACCCCAGAGCAGTTAGAATCAGCATTTTATTCCCTGGAGTGCAAGGTCATATAGAGGACCTTGGATCCTCATTGGCTGAGTACTGTGGGATGCATACATTTCCCCAAGGTGGCCTAGGTTTTACTGTCTCCTATTGAGTTATTTAAAGAAATATGCCCTAGTCATTCTTACTTTCCTTTGTTCTCTTGTGCAGGAAGGACTTTTTGGATTGAGTGCCTTTTGGCACATAGGGAGACCCCTTTACCCTGAACTCCTGTTTGTCAAGAACTGTGAAGTTTTCGTACTCCGGTGTTAACTGCTTGTAACTTTCCACTCTGCTCTCCCTTCTGCTGCTTTTCCCCAAGTAATTTTACATTTAAGGTTAAATACCATATTCTGAAAATGGACCACTGGACTTTCAATTTCTCATACTGTAGAATATACAAAGCACTTTCATAGCCAGGATTTTAAAGTAATAGTTGTGAGAAATAGAAAGTGTGGTGGTTCATTTTCAAAATCTAGTATTCAGACTTAATTGGACCAATTGTGGCCCTTCCCTTTTGTTTGCCCTAATTCTAAAACTAGCCAGTCGCATAGATTGTAACCCCAGCTCCTCCAGTCAGAGTGAAGGGTAGAGCAGCATTAGGTTCAATATAAAAGCAGGTGACTGCCCACCGAAGTTTCATAGTCCGCCTTTCTGCCAGAAGTAAAGGTTTGCCTTGCCCACCCACTTTAGAACATGTGTTTGATGTCTTGTGGCACCCCAGGGCATCTCTAATAGCATACTGGTTCTCTGTAACTCTAATAGATCTGGTGGCATGTATAGGCCAAAAGGATAATGGGGTGCATGATAAACTTTTTTTTTTGTGCTGGTGCTGGGGAGTAAACCCTGGTCCTTGTTCATTGTAAGCATAAGTTCTACCACTTAGCAGTATCCCCAACCCATGATAAACTTTAATAGATCTAACTGGTAAAGCCCTGAAACATTTTTGAATAATACATAAGCATATGGAAGACATGAGGGGAAATTAGAATTAATGACATCAATTAGAAAGAAAAACACTAGTTATGATTAATAACAAGTTAAATATGCCTGGAACTTCAGGTAACCAAAAAATTTGTGTGTATCAGGAGAATTTGGTTGCTAAAAGAGTTGACATAATTTAAACCTTATTTTTTTTTTACAGGTTATTTATTTTTTTAATTGATTTTATTATTTTTAAATACACAACAGCAGTGGAATGCATTAAAATTCTTTTTACACATATATAGCACAATTTTTCGTACCTCTGTATATAAAATATGTTCATGCCACTTTATGCCTTTATACATGTACTTAGTTTTTCTTTGCATTACAATTCTTAATACACATATATACCACAATTTTTCATATCTCTTTATATAAAGTATGTTGACACCCAATTCAAGTCTTCATACATGTACTTTGTATAATGATGTCCATCACATTTCACTATCCTTGCTAATCCCCTGCCCACTCCTTTTCCTTCCCATCCCTCTTCCCTATAAACCTTATTAGTAGCATAAAGCTTGAAAATGATAGTTTTGTTCTATTAATTGTGTTTGGAAATATGTACAACTTGGAGTGACACTTTTAAGAGATAACAAAATTGAATTTATTTAGAAAATTTAAGGGAAAATTTAGGATATAATTTGGTGCTCAAAAAAAAAGTTTGGGGGTTTTCAAGATGGTGGAATAGAGGAGGTTGTGTTCTGGGCTGCTCCGTGGAATGAAACCAAGAAAACCAACAGGCATCTTCTCAGCAAGGTGGGTGAACAACAACAACAAAAAAAGGCAGGGAGACTTTACTGGAATTTAAAACTGGACATTCAAAGCAGACTGGAGACACAGGAGGTTGGATATAATAAAATAAGGAATCCCCAGTGGCACAGCTATTGCCAAGCCTGGCCAGAAACTCCAGCCAGAGAGGTTCCTTCGTGAACATAGTGTAGGGATAAGGGAATTAAAGGAACCCTCAGTTTTGGGAGGCCCAAGGTGTGTCTGGGTACAGAGCATTTAGAGATCAAGGACATTGGCCAGTAAACCTGAAACAAACACTGCACAATATCTGTGTGCAGGGAAGGAAGCTGCCATCTCTCTAGGTAGCGTGCAGAGGACGAAGGAACCATTTTGCAGCTGCTTGTGGGAGGACAGCAGCTGAGGGGCGGATTCGTGGCAACTGAGTTTGGCCCAAAATGCAGGCCCAGTAAAAACACTCTACATGACATAGAGTGTGCTTAAGTGACAGGAGAAAATCAGACATGAGAGGTTTACACAGGGGACAACTCATTGTGGAAACCCACCCAGCTCTACCCCTCTCCCTCCTATCAACTGTTACAGGACCAGCTGGGAGAGATGCATCTAACTGGGAACTTGGAAGGGCTGGGCCAGAGAAATTGATTGGAGACTGAACCCAAGAACAGGAATCATGGCGTCTGCAGGTGATGTAGGGGACTAAGAATTGGGTACCTACCCCACCACATGAGTGGGAACCAGGGGAGATCCTTAAGATACAGTCCTTCAGTGTGGACCAGCAAGTACTGGGTGCTGGAGGTACACTGATTTAAAATCTCCAGACCAGTTAGCATTCAGCAAAGAGCCTGGAGTCTTCTTAAGCCTAAACCCTGCCTCCAGGAACTCCGCCAATGAGATTAACGCTCTCACTCTAGCAATCCAGGAGAACCCACCTAAACCTATTGAGACGATAAAGTCTCCTTTGTATTTTTTGCCTTCTCTAGTGTTTTTGAAGTCAGTTATTTTACATGAATTAGTTTTTTCGTGTGTGAAGTAGGATGTTTGGTTAGTAATTTTAGTTTTGTATTTTTGTTTTTAAATTTTTAAGAATTTTTGCTTTATATATTTTTCTCTTGTTTCCCTTGATTCTTTTTTTTCTGCCAACAGCCAATGTCTATTGTTTTCTCACTCTTCCTTTAATCTTTTTCTTCTGTCTTCTCTCCTCCCTCATAATCATCACATCCTGTGTCACTTCTGTTGTCTCCCAGTCCACCATTTGAAAATGTAAATGCTTTTGCAAACTTGCTGTTTTTATTATAGGCAATAACTGATCATATCATTTCTGCTTATTATGATAATTAACATTGCAAATGTCTTAGTAGGAAGTATTTGATTTAATGCTGTAAGCTATTTGCATTGGTTATTATTATTTGTGTCCACCTAAGCAGGTGCTGGAAACCTTCAGGGACACTGTAATCCACAGAGTAGAAACTGCTGACTTAGGCCCACTCTGTTACATGGGTAGACACACAAACAACATGAAAAAGCAAGGGAACAAATTTCTCGAAGCAAACCAGGATACTCTAGTAACAGAATCCATGGATACCACAGTGGAAGAAATGTTAGAGAAGAGGTTTAGAATGTACATAGTTAAACTGATCTGTGAAGTAAAGGACAATATAAGAGAGTAAATACAGGTAGCAAAAGATCACTTCAATAAAGAGAGATTCTGAAAACAAAAACAACCCCAACAGATCCTTGAATGAAGGAAATAATAAACCAAATTAAAAATTCAATAGAAAGCATCACCAACAGACTAGACCATTTGGAAGACAGAACCTCAGGCAATGCGGACAAAATATATAATCCTGAAAATAGAGTTGACCACAGAGAGAAAAATGTTAAGTAATCATGAAAAGAACTTCCAAGAATTACGGGATAACGGGAAAAGACCCAAATTTAAAGATTCATTGGGATAGATGAAGGCATGGCAGATGAACCAAATGATGCACAATCTCTTTAATGAAATAATATCAGAAAATTCCCCAAATCTAAAGAATGAAGTGGAAAATCAAATATAAAAGGCTTATAGGACCCCAAATATGCAAAACTACCACAGACCCACATCAAGGCACATTATAATGAAAGTGCCTAGCATACAGAATAAGGATAGAATTTTAAAGCCTTGGAGGGGAAAAAAAAATCATATAACATATAGGGGGAAACCAGTATAGATCTCAGCTGATTTCTAAACCCAGATCCTCAAAGTTAGGTGGTCCTGGAATAACATACATATATTAAGCTCTGAAAGAAAATGGATGCCAACCAAGAATCCTATATCCATCAAAGTTAAGCTTCAGATTTGAAGATGAAATAAAAACCTTCCATGATAAATAAAAATTGAAAGTATTTGCAACCAGAAAGCCTGCACTTCAGAATATTCTCAACAAAGCATTCCATGAAGAGGAAATGAAAGGCTGTGTGTGGTGGGGCATACCTGTAATCCCAGCAGCTCCAGAGGCGGAGGCAGGAGGATCTGAGTGCAAAGCCAGCCATAGTAATTTAGTCAGGTGCTACCTGTCTCTTAAAAAAAAAAAAAAAACAAAACCAACACAAAATAGGGCTGGGGATATGGCTCAGTGGTCAAGTGCCCCTGAGTTCAATCCCCAGGTCTCCTCCCCCAAAAAAAGATGAAATGAAAAAAATAAGTGAAAACCAGTGAAGGGAGGAACTACACTAAAGGAACAGTCAATTAAAGGAGAAACTAAGTCAAATTAATAAGCCAAAATTATCAGGAACACAAATCATATTCAAAAATTTTGAACATTAATGGCTTAAACTTATCAATTAAAGTCATAGACTTGGAAGATTGGATTAAAAAACAGGATCCAACAATATGCTGTTTCCAAGAGATTCACTTCATAGGCAAAGACATCTACAGACTGAAGTTGAAAGGATGAGAAAAAATGTATCATTCACATGCATCATGTAAACAAGCAGGGATTTCTATCCTTAGATAAAGTGGACTTCAAGCCAAAGTTAATCAGAAGGGACAAAGAAGGACATTTCATACTGCTTAAGGGAATTAAACATCAATAAGTCATATAACAATCATATTGATGCTCTAAACAATGAAGCATCTATGTATATTAAACAAACCCTTCTCAACTTCAGTTATCAAATAGACCACAACACAATAATACTGGGTGACTTTAACTCACCTCTCTCACTACTGGATAGATCTTCCAAACAAAAACTTAAACAAAGAAACTACAGAACTAATTAATATAATCAGTAATTTAGACTTAACAGACGAAATATATCACTGACTGAATATATTTCTCAGCAGTACACAGATCCTTCTCTAATAGACCATGTTATGTAAGCTGTTACACATGTTGGCATACAATTAATATATTTTTAGTATCTGCAGGATTATTTTGATAGCTCCCTTTCCACTGATACTATTTTTTTTGTGTTCTTTTTTATCTGGATTAGACCTGTTTGATTTTTATCAAATTTTACCTGTATTCTCTATTTCATATATTTCTTTTCCTACTCTTATTTTTTCTTCCTACTACTTAATTTGAAAATAATTTGATGGTTATTCTAGCTTCTTTCTGATATAAGTACTTTAAGTTCTAAATGTTCATCTGAGTACTCTTTCATCCCAGAGATCCTGATATTTTAAGCTTTTATAATCAATTATTTCAAAGTGCTTTTTATTTACTTTTCTTGTGCTTTCTTCCTTGACCTCAGAGATATTTATAAGTGTGCTACTTAATTTTGAAATAGTTTTCGTGGGGGTGGAATTCTATATATCTTAAGGTGATTGATTTCTAATATAATAAGTCATGAAGGAATCATGGACTGCATGATTTCAAGTTAAAAACTAATGGGAATGCTTTTTATATTGATTGCATTGGTTACATACATGTTGAAACTGATCAAATTAGATACTTCAAATATGTGCATTTTATTGTACTTTAGTTTTACCTCAGTAAAGCTATGGGAAAAACAGTTATCAGAAACGAAACTAAAAATAAAAGATAAAAAGGCTTTTGATATTTAATTTTGCAGATAAGGAAATAAGAGTGTCAGGGAGGTTGATGTGACGTGCCCTGAATCATAGCTACTGGCAAAACAGTGACTAAAAACTAAGTATTTCGTGAGAAAGCAAATTGAATATGTCTAGACTAGTTTTAGTAATATTGTCTATATTATATTTTCATTAAGTTTACACATTTTCTGATTTTCTCTTAAGATAAATGAAGATATTCATTAAAAAAATACTTTCTTAGCCCTATTGTCTTCATGAAATAACATGTCCAGATTTGATGTTTTCATTACTGTGACCATGTGTTATACAGCTGATCTACCTCTTGTGATTAAATTTCCTTCCTTTTGTAATCTAATTTTTCTTAAAACTTATGAAATTCTCATTGTAAAAAATTTTTTCGCTTTCTTTGAACTTAAAGGTGTCTTATATCTTTCAGCAGTTCTGTAAATTTACATTTCTATAATTTTTCACATGTTCATTTTTGTCACATGATTTATTCACTTTTTCTTTTTTTCTGGAATCTTACTCTGATTTGACCTATTTCTTCTAGGTCTGCTTCATAGCTAGATTTCCTTTTACTCGCATCTTGGAAATTCTCTCCGCTTTTCTTCATTAGGTCACCTCTCATTTCTTCATTAGGTCACCTCTAGTTGTTCCCTGAGTAAACATACGTTGGAATTAAATTTTTGAAAAGGCATGTTTTAAAAATGATTTCATTCTTTTTTCACACTTGATTGTTAGTTTGACTATATATAAAAAAGCTACCCTCTAATAATTACAGAGATTGAGCTTTGCAAGATAAAAAGTATTCTGAGGATGGTGGAAATGGTTACATGACAGCATGCATGTGTTTAATGCCATGGAACTATACATTTAAAAGTGGTTCAAGGGGGTCCGGGGTTGTGATTCAGTGCTTGCCTGCATGAGTGAGGCACTGGGTTTAATCCCTGACACCACATAAAAATAAACAAATAAAATTAAGGTATTGTGTCCATCTACAACTAAAATAAATAAATAAATAAAAGTGGTTCAGGGGCTGGGGCTGTAGCTCAGAATTGAAGCACTTGCCTAGAGGCACTTAGCACCACATAAAAATAAAATAAAGGCATTCTATCCATCTACAACTACAAAAACCGTTTTCTTTAATTGATTCAAAAAATAGTTCACATGGTAATTTTCATGTGTATTATATTGATTTGTCAGGGTTGCTATTAATGAAGTACCACAGACTGGGTGACTTAAACAATAGAAATTACTTTTCTATTGAAATTTTCAGTTTAGGGAGGCTTGGAAATCTGAGAGCAAGGTGTGTCATCAGGGTTGGTTTCTTCTGAGAGCCTCCTTCTCTTCTGGGTTTTGGCTTATTTTCCTCTTCTGGTCTTTTAGATGGCTGTCTTCTCCCTGTGTCTTTTGGTGTCTTGATGTCTTAAAAGAACACTAGATTAAATTAAATGGATTAAATCCCATTTATGACCTTGTTTTACCTTAGTGCAGTGGTTTGAATACGAGGTGTCCCCCCAAATCTCATGTTTGGAAAATACAAGAAGGTTCAGAGGAGAAATGAGTGGGTTAAGAGAGTCAGTGAATTGATCCCCTGATAAGGATTAACTGAGTGGAAGCACTAGAGTGTGGCTGGAGGAGGTGGGA